ACAATTTTGAAACTTTTCTCCGCTCTTATGGTCGTTGTACTGTGTCACGTATTTTGTTATATTTACCTGATAAGGTATGTACATCTTTATGTAAAGCCAAGTAGTTTGCATTGGCTTTGTTCAACGCACGTATAACGCAGTCACTATTTTGCTTTCAACCAGCCTCGTGTGCACAGTGCTGCACCCCGAAAGAATTGCCTGTTACCGATAAATCATTCACCTGAAATCATACCTTGTTGAACTGTTAATAACAGTGTCAATCGTGTCAGTGGCATCCGAAAAAAACGAGATACATACCTATAACGCTTCCGTGCCACTGATATCGATATCATGATTCCCGGAGGTCATCTGCAACATTGTAGTCGTAACCATAACATTCTACATTCAACAAGTGTGTCTAAATATAAAAATATATATATATATATATAAAAGGAACCTTGATCAGTTGTTTTAATTTCATTATTCGATATCTAATTACATCGGTGGTACTATTCTAGAACGAAAGGAGCGGACTAATATACGTTGATTTCAATCTCAACGGTCTTTCATATATAATTATCTGTATTGCACAGCGATGACCCATATTGAGTCTTGTGACATCGCACACAATAAAATTAGTAAGTTATTTACTGCATACTTGCAAAGTTGTTGTGATATTATAATAAACCACCATAACTGATCTGATCTTGATCTGAAAACGTTTCAATTAAAGACATGTATTGTCAATGCGTGCATGCCCTAGTTAAACTGCGTCTTATTCTAAACGTGGTATTTAGTTGCATTCATCGCTATTGCAGCGACTTAGTCTGCCATCAGACGAAGTGTACACAAACACAGTGCAGTGTGAATACTATCAAAGAAAAGTGGTGACCCAACCCTTTTAGTTATTGTCTGAATAGTGCGCGGCAATGTGTTTGTGTTTTTCTACAATTTACAGCCATTGAGGACAAAACATGGCGCTATTTGTACCACTAATCAGCATTCTGTGCACGTTACCCTCAAATAATGGGACAAGGGCAAGGTTTTCTACTAAAAGACTCCTAATTTGCATACAATGAATGGAATCTAGATCAGATTTTTCTGAATTATATTTTTCACATATTATTTTAAAAAACACAATTATTATTTATAAATTCATATTCCGTTCATTACACGTAAATATGTAAATTTATTGTTAATTGAAGTCATTCAATTGGATTTAGCATTCCTCATTTTGTAGCAGCTGAAACTAAACAATTACTTGTTAGATTCTTATCTGAATGTCTCATGAACAATAATCTGAACACAGAATTGACAAACTTCTATAAGAAAACATTCAGAGAAAATCGTATAGTTGAATTAATCTAATGGGATCGTTGTTCATGTGACTGTCGCGTATGGGAATTATAAGTCAACTAGGGGGGGGGGCAAACTGTAGAACTCTATATATATGGTCTATTATATGTATAGTTCTGTGGGTGGTAATGGTTTATAATAAGATCTAGGCTCTAGGTGCAGCCAAGAATAAAAACACCGACAAGCAATTAACATATAAATAATTACTTATGTAGAGTAAATGTAAATAGCATGTATTTGTGGGGAAAAAACCAGTTAATTTTCAGCATTTTGAAGAAGAAAAATGTACACACAGTGTCCAGTTCTGTGGAGTGTGGTATCTGCGACACAGCGCCCCTATAAAGGTAGTAAGCAGTCATGATCCCGTTATTACTGTATACACTGAAACACTGAATGTGAGCATTTTTCATTTCTGAGGATATTTAAGCCAACCCACTAACGATGACTACACTGCGCCGAATTCATAATTTGTGAATTATGGGACATCGAGTTGTATACGCTCGCTATGACAGTTTAATGACATCGAATGCACGTCTAAAATGTTTCGTGTAGGTGATGATGAGGCGGAAAATGAGATGTATTTTCACTGTTGAGTATGGTAAAATTTTTGTCACTGGTCATGAAAATGCAAATCGGGGTCGAATAGAAATGAATGTTACAAAATAAAATTTAATATACATAATTGTATGTAATGAATGGAATAAGAATCTAAAAAAAACATGCATTTCTAAAATATAAATGACCTGGTTGGTAGAAACTACCTTGTAAATCCAAACGATTGGCAGAAACGGCTCTGTGAATCGATCTGATTGGTAGAAACGGCCTTGTGAATCGATCTGATTGGCAGAAACGGCCTTGTGAATCGATCTGTTTGGCAGAAACGGCCTTGTGAATCGATCTGATTGGTAGAAACGGCCTTGTGAATCGATCTGATTGGTAGAAACGGCCCTGTGAATCGAACACTGATTGGTATCAACGGCCTTGGGAATCGATCTGATTGTATAAACGGCCTTGTGAATCGATCTGATTGGTAGAAACGGCCCTGTGAATCGACCTGATTGGTAGAAACGGCCCTGTGAATCGACCTGATTGGTATAAACGGCCTTATGAATCGATCTGATTGGTAGAAACAGACTTGTGAATCGATCTGATTGGCAGAAACGGCCTTGTGAATCGATCTGATTGGCAGAAACGGCCTAGTGCATCGATCTGATTGGTAGAAACGGTCTTGTGAATCGATCTGATTGGTAGAAACGGCTATGTGAATCGATCCGATTGGTAGAAACGGCCCGATGAAGCGACCTGATTGGTATAAACGGCCTTGTGAATCGATCTGATTGGTATAAACGGCCCGATGAATCGATCTGATTGGTAGAAACGGCCTTGTGAATCGATCTGATTGATAGAAACGGCCTTGTGAATCGATCTGATTGGCAGAAACGGCCTTGTGAATCGATCTGATTGGTAGAAACGGCCTTGTGAATCGATCTGATTGGTATAAACGGCCCTGTGAATCGACCTGATTGGTAGAAACGGCCCTGTGAATCGACCTGATTGGTATAAACGGCCTTGGGAATCGATCTGATTGGTATAAACGGCCTTGGGAATCGATCTGATTGGTAGAAACGGCCTTGTGAATCGATCTGATTGGTAGAAACGGCCCTATGAATCGAACTTATTGGTAGAAACAGATCTGTGAATTAATCTGATTGGTAGAAATGGTCATGTGAATCGACCTGATTGGTAGAAACGGCCCTGTGAATCGACCTGATTGGTAGAAACGGCCCTGTGAATCGACCTGATTGGTATAAACGGCCTTGGGAATCGATCTGATTGGTATAAACGGCCTTGGGAATCGACCTGATTGGTAGAAACGGCCCTATGAATCGAACTTATTGGTAGAAACAGATCTGTGAATTAATCTGATTGGTAGAAACGGTCCTGTGAATCGACCTAATTGGTAGAAACGGCCCTGTGAATCGACCTGATTGGTAGAAACGGCCCTGTGAATCGACCTGATTGGTATAAACGGGCCTTGGGAATCGATCTGATTGGTATAAACGGCCTTGGGAATCGATCTGATTGGTAGAACGGCCTTGTGAATCGATCTGATTGGTAGAAACGGCCTTGTGAATCGATCTGATTGGTAGAAACGGCCTTGGGAATCGATCTGATTGGTAGAAACCGCCTTGGGAATCGACCTGATTGCTAGAAACGACCCTGTGAGTCGACGTAATTAGTAGAAACGGCTCTGTGAATCGACCTGATTGGTAGAAATGGCCCTGTGAATCGAACACTGATTGGTATAAACGCCCTTGGGAATCGATCTGATTGTATAAACGGCCTTGGGAATCGATCTGATTGGTAGAAACGGCCTTGTGAATCGATCTGATTGGTAGAAACGGCCTTGTGAATCGATCTGATTGGTAGAAACGGCCTTGGGAATCGATCTGATTGGTAGAAACGGCCTTGGGAATCGACCTGATTGCTAGAAACGACCCTGTGAGTCGACTTGGTTAGTAGAAACGGCTCTGTGAATCGACCTGATTGGTAGAAATGGCCCTGTGAATCGAACACTGATTGGTAGAAACGGCCTTATGAATTGACCTGATTGGTGAAAACGACCTGTGAATTGACCTGATTGGTAGAAACGTCCTCGTCATTTTAAACTTATTCAAACAAGAATCGCAAATTAGTGGATGTTAGTAGCCTGAGGGATCGCCAGGATCGGGTGTTAAGACAACTCCGATTACACAGACACAACAAACATGTGAGCACGTGCTCAAGGCACGAAAACCTACTTTTGTAATGCGTTTGAAAGCATAATCTTGTAATTGTGTTTCCTGTTATATATATTGCAAGACCAGAAAGTGGTTTCTTTTCATGTTCGACATCAGTTTCCTCATTGATCAAGTAGCCGTCCTGGAGATATTCGTAGATATTTAGTATAACTTGATTCATAGAAACGTAGATATACCCCGGTCAGTTGGCATGGCAAAAGCACTGGACTAACCCAATAATTTATCATAACAAATACATTAAAAAGGCACGGTGTTAATTAAATTCTGCTGTTTCTCAGCATACCATACACTAAGCAATGAATAAAACCTTAAATTATTGACTGTTTATATTTGTAATTGCAGAGAGGCAGTATTACCAAGATATGTTGATACCAGGGACATGTATCAGAAGGTGAGTGATTGTCATCGTGTCGTGTGTGCGATTGAATATCACCATAATGACAAGTGCTCCAATATTGGGGACGCAGTATTCACGACTAATGACCGCCTTTGGGTTTTATTCTAGACTGTCACCGATTGTTTTGTTTTGAGCGGCATTCACCCTCAAATTAAGATTGTAAATTGGTTTAGAATCTAATCTAATAGTTAATGTCTTCTTGTCTTCTTTTTCTACTGGATGAAAAGTTGAACTTCAATCAACGCATTTCTCCACATACACCGAAAGCCCGCATGAATGGAAGTAATACACACGACATACATAAATTTGATGAACAGTTGTCCTGCGCGCCAAGAAGTAATTTGGTGATGTTGAAAACTCACAAGAGTGGAAGCAGCACTTTACAGAACATTTTGTTACGGTATGCGGATACACACAACTTAACGCTTGTACTGCCAAACGACGGGCACCAATTTGGATACCCCAACATGTTCAATATACGTAAGATCATTCGTGTCCCTTGGAATCAGTACAACATCTTTACTCACCACGCTAGACTTAATGTTAGCGGTAAGTTAATATACCTAAAGATTGACTCTCCATATCCTGACAATATTGATGGAAATGGTTATAGAATGACATCGTGGATATCCAGCCTGAGAATTTTAAACTATGTAACACTTAACATATAAAATAAATTGCATCATTGAATAATTCAATAAACAATTCATAACACCCTTGAAAACGATATTGTATTATATTTGTGGACCACATGTCACTCACAGCTACTAGTAGTTGGTAATTTCAACCCTATTACTGCTCATTGTTGCAACATCTGGCAATGGTAACTTGCTAAAATAAACATGGCTCAGTAATATGAGAGACCTATCGCATTCATACTCTCGAATCATAAAATTAACATCCATCGTTTTATAAAACACAGATACGAACTGTATTTAACTCTCCCAAAGTCAATTTGTTGCCTAAATGGTATGTTCGTTTCCCTTATGTGCGTCATCATGGCGCTCATGGATTGGGTAAAAAATCAACTCTCTCAAACCATCTCCGAGGACTAGCTACCACAAATCAAACTGAATGATCAAATTATATCTCAAATTGTCTTTTTCAGATATCCGTCAGCTGATGCCAAATGATGCACTATACATTACGATTTTACGCAACCCAGTGATTCAGTTTGAGTCACTTTTCAACTACTACAAATTGGGAAATTATTTGAAAGTTGAGGCCGGAAATGTCAGTCAACTACAAACGTTTTTAGAAGCTCCAGAAACCTACAACCGTAACCCTTATACAAAAAACAACTATTTGTATGACCTGGGATTCAACAACATTGACTGGATGTCACCACCGAAGATCCGCAACACCATTAAAATGGTTGCCGACATGTTTGACTTTGTATTTATTGCGGAGTACTTTGATGAATCGTTGATTTTGTTACGCCATGCCATGTGCTGGGGCATCAGAGACATTGTGTACTTCAGTCAAAATGCGCGTAATCACAATACAGTTAGAAAAGTAACTCCTTGGATGGAGGAACGAATTAAGGAATGGAACACTGCAGACTATCAACTGTACACGTATTTTAATGAGACATTTTGGAAGAAAGTTGTCGACTTTGGAATTGATAGAATGGAGAGAGAGAAAGCAGCTTTGAGGGAACAGGTGACGGCCTACAGAGAAGAGTGTATTGATGACGTCATTGACAACGGTGACGGGGTTTGGCATTTGTCTGGAGTAAAGATTCGAAGTAATACATTGAAAGCATCGGCTAAAAATAACACAGTCTTGCGTACAGATGACAACACCGGAACTCAGTTTCACTCGCCAGGTAGTCGATAAATTACGCAAACGTATAAAGGGTTACAACAAAACGCGAAATGTAGTGTAAAAACATTCAATGTGATTTGACAATAAACACAAAATAAACACAAAAGTCCCTCGCCCCCCCCCCAAAAAAAATGCTCATCCCACTGATACTTGAACTTGGTCAACTCTGAATGGCCAATCCGGGTGGTATATTTATAGCAATCAGGTTGAAGTTGGTAACGTGCAATGGCCCATGGCGACGATCGTCGATATGTGACCAACTTTCGCGCCGATTCAGCAACTTTCAGCGATATGTAAGCAAGTTTCTCGCCGACTTAGCAACTTCCGCGCCGACTTAGCAACTTCCGCGATATGTAAGCAAGTTTCTCGCCGACTTAGCAACTTCCGCGCCGACTCAGCAACTTCCGCGCAGACTTAGCAACTTCCGCGATATGTAAGCAAGTTTCTCGCCGACTTAGCAATTTCCACGCCGACTCAGCAACTTCCGCGATATGTAAGCAAGTTTCTCGCTGACTTAGCAATTTCCGCGCCCACTTAGCAACTTCCGCGACATGTAAGCAAGTTTCTGGCCGACTTAGCAATTTCCGCGCCGACTCAGCAACTTCCGCGCAGACTTAGCAACTTCCGCGATATGTAAGCAAGTTTCTCGCCGACTTAGCAATTTCCGCGCCGACTCAGCAAATTCCGCGCCGACTTAGCAACAATGTAAATGGCTGTTAAATAACAGTTATTAATAAGTGACTATGAAGAATGTACTTATATCTTGTATACGGGGAGGATACCAGGGCATTTTTTTTTATTTTAGAAACCTTGTACAACAGTCAAGGTGAAACCAAATATATATCTCATATTGGTGATTATGACTGGAAATAAGAGATACACTATTGTCCGTAATTGTTTATTCTTGTTTTCAATCAAATCTTATTATTTATCACTTGACCATTGTTCATAATATCCACAGTTGTGACGTTTAGTGTAAAATAGCACTCACAGATGTGCTCTTGTAAACTTCACAATATTGTCATCATTGTTCTATATTACGTCATGTTGGGCATATATGATATGATACAAATTTATTCAGTACGATGCCCTCAGGCCTATAGAGAATCATTCAAATAATCATCAGTCACAACTGGTTAAGTAGATTTTCTCTTTGTTTAGAAGCGTAGAATACAAATTTGAAATACAGATAAGTTGTCAAAGAAATTTTGCACATGTCTGATTTTACTGATAACAAAAATGAGGCACAGCCGGGAGTTGTTCAGGCAAGTCAAGAACACATGATATTTATTCAAGGTATTTTTTTTTTAAATTTTTAAAAAGTTTTTTCTGGCAATATCCAGAAATCAAACCAAGTTTTCATTCGATTAGCCAAGTAATTATATTAATCAAGTGATTAGTGAGGAAGTGGTAACATACCCCCGGGGGGGGGGGGCAATACATAGAACTTGCCTTGGGGACATGCCCCTGAAATTTGTCTCATTTTTTTTATTTTAGGTATAAGTATCGGACTTATGTCTGGTCAAGATAGGTATAAATATCGGTAATATTTTCCCGATTTGGTATAAATAACCTGAACATTGTGTTAATATGCTCTTAGTAAGTGACAGAGGTGTTTCTATTGTCAAAATACATATTTTAATAAATCCACTGTTGGCTTACGTGTGCATCCATCGCTTGTTATAAGCCTCTAGATATACAAGCAGGGGATGCATTAAACTTGTATGGTATGCTCACATTAATTCAAAAGTTATTAATAAATCAAATTCATTGCCGTTTATATAATTTTGTTTATATAATTTAGATAGGGGTATTTAAATGCAGCATCAGTAACCTCAATTCAGCAAAAAAAAATTCTTTAAAATGTTATCAACATTTTCTCATGTATAAAGGTTTTTTTGGAAATTTATTTACAAACATCACAAATAATGAGCATATTGTTTGCATGTGTTTTGTACTTTTATTCAAAATTACCAATTGAGCCTGCACTCTCA